GTCCAATTACAGTATTCTTGGAGGCTTAGGTAATCAAATGTACTACAGTATACTATTTTAATCTGATTCTGTTATAATAACCATGTACAGTTATAGTGTTTATAGCATTATTGTGTGCAGACTGTGTTATAAACATATTTTTGAAAAGATTGATTCTAATTTTTTTTTTCTTTTTTAAAAATAAGAACCTGTTTWAGGATTTTAGCCTAAAATGGTTCTTATGTGAAGGGTGCTTAAAAATGAAATTTTAGCCTAACAGGTTCTTAAATTTTAGGTTCTTATACGCGGGATTTTACTGTAACTCAAACGAAACTTTGAAATTTGTAGARGATGATTCCTGTCGTCTGTCACTCGTCAAATAGTTTGAATGCTTGATTCTTACGATTTTTAGGAAATGTAATTGTATATACGTATAAAGCATAGAGTTAAAAAAGACTCACCGGAGCGATGCTTCTCGWAAATCCTATAACACCAAACTTCGATGCGCAATAAACAGGACAAAACGATGCTGCATGAAGACCTAAAGGACATCATGAACAAGTAGTATCATTAGGATATCATTGGAAAGCACGGGTGGCGTAGCGGTGCGAGCTCTTGTCTTTCACCAATGCGACCCGGACGCGTTGTAGTATGTGAGTAGAGTTAAATTTCTAGTTGGTTCTCTCCTGTGCTTCGAGGATTTTTCTCCATTTGGTTCTCACGGGCTTTCCTCACTCCCCAAAATTAATCAACTTCTAAATTCCACTTGGAATTCAGTGGATTAAAAAACACAATGCGCTAGCTAGATACTTTTTATTTATTTTATTCTATTTAGTGAGGCATAATATTATTAACTAAACACTTGGCAGCGCGAGTTTTTTCTCCTCGTTAAAATCAAACGAACTGGCGGGGTTGAAAACAAGCATAAGCCGTGTTTCAACTTCTACAGACGCTTGAGAAAATACTGTACAACAAATTATGAATAATGTCGTTTGCATGATGACATCGAGGGTGGGTGGGGCAAAGTTCGTTTTCCGAAGCTCCAAACGACGTTGTGCAATAAGTCGTGTGTATTGAGTTAATTTATACTGCTCCGTGCTAATCTATTCAGTGAGAATAAYGCAAATATCTTATTTGCATTTGTTAAAATGTTTTCAAATCTCTTTTCAAATCAACGAAACTCATGAAGGAATCAGTAATGATCAGTRAATATCGATCGATAGTAATCGGTGTTTATGCATTGTCTTACCACCAGTAGACGATGTGTTAATGATGATTCCAGACTTCATTCGTTCAATCGCCAACTTTGTCCCTTGAACAACCGCTTTCTTAATAAAAAGATGCAAATCTGATTGAAATAATCATCAGGCTAGATGACATTTTGAATATTACGCGCGCAACTAAATACAACTTTTGATGCCCTTCGCAGCAAGGATCCGGGTGAAAATTAACAAACGAATTGTGGGGCGGGGTGTCTTTCGTTGTTAAAAGCATCTATCCGTCGTGCGGGCGGTCGTGGTGCGGCCGGACCAATATTAAGGGTATTTAAATAACTGAGGAGAAGGTGCTACCTTTGTAATTACTTCTGGAAATGGTTAGACCTTCAAGTGGCTCGGACGACCACGTTAATTGCGGTCCCGTCCCCCCCCAAAAAACCAGTACGTTAAAGTAGGACCACGAGTTTATCAGTTGAAATACTATGAAGTATTATCCATAAACGAAGTTGATTTACTTTTTTCTATCTATTTTAAGGCATAACAAAGCGACATCAAAATGTTCAAAATTTCATTTGACTTACCAGATTAATATCCAGTGTTTTGACCCAGTTTTTCTCATCTAATATCCCAGCATTATTGCAAACGATGTCGATTTGTCCATGAAGGGAGAATGCTTTGTTGAACGTAGCTGAAGAACAAAAATATGGTACTCTAAAATCTACGCATTGTTTTGCAAGTTGACATCCCATCCCGAATTTATATTTACTTTTCCGTGCGAAAAAAGCATTGTTATGCAGTGTTAAAGAAGTGTAAAGAGTAATTTAAAAACACGGTATTTATCATGTGAGCAAATAAATAAAGAAGAAAAAAAACGATTAAATAAAAATACACAAAATACTTATTCGAAACTGTAGAAATAGCTGGTAATGTACGCATTTTATTAATGTTAGGGGAGTCCCTGGAATYCTTAAGAATATGACAATCAACCTTACTTCTGATTGCCGCTCTAGACACCATCCTCCTCTATTTAGGCCTGTATTTTATTTCATTACAAAGCAGAAAACCGTGCTACTTAATTATTGGCCTGCAACACTGCTGCTTTGCAGTTTGCGCATACAGAGCGAACATTATTGCATGCTTTTGCATATTAACATTTATAAACATACTCTCTTAATTACATAAAGCAGCTGCTCTGCGCAATTGTTATAAAACAATTCTTAACATGCGACCGAAGTATTAATGAGACAAGTTACCTACATTTCCGCACCATTATTCGTGCCGTTTTATGTACTTATTTGTGGAAAATGGGATGAAAAGAAATGAAAGATGAAGTGGCTCAACTAGTGGAAATATTTGGCGTTTGAGATCTAGATATCAACATTTCCGGGTGTAAAAATAAAGGAGCAAAAAGAATTAGTTTGTTGGAAAAAATTTATATTTTGAGTTTATTCTGTTACTAATAAAGGTCAATGCTTCATGTGCATCCTGCAATGGCAGATATATATAGTAAGATATCGAAGAATACTTAAACATTGTTCATTTTTTTAGCACACTTACCCTCGAGTTCTTCTTGAACTGAGACATCACACTGTAAGAAAGCAGCTTTGCCTGTCCCATAAGTGTCGATGAAATGTTTGGCTACTTGCTCGCCATTCTTCGTGTTGATATCAACCAAAATCACCTGGAAAGSAAAGGAACTTAGATCTCAAGGAATGCACTTTCATCCGGGAAACTGCAATAGCAGTATTGGTAAGGTAGATATTAATAGTTTTAAATYGTCAATCGTTTGGTATTTCACTTGGCAATACCTCAGACGTCATAGCAAAGAGAAATACTGCAACGCAAATTATACTAAAAATAACTTATGGAGCATCATTTAAATTTGTATTCAAAGCTTTTTAGCCCGCGATAAGTGGTTTGTTCCTATGCTTTTGTTCTTTGGTCAATGTTTTGGTTCTCCCTCTAACTGAACATGCTCTAACGTAAACACGAATCCCATGAATGTCCTACTACCAAATGGCTGCCAATACCTTCAGCCAGTTAGTTTAGCTTCTCATTTTATTACTATTAAACTAATGACAAGCAAACGATATTGTTTTGGAAACAAAAGCATTCGAAAGTTATTATTTATTTGTCATTAAGATGTGAAACACATTCTTTGCGATTTGTCCTTGCTGCTTACAATATCATTTAGAGTAACCATTTCGAAGTAAGAGGTTTAGTAAAGTGAACATCACAAAGACGTTGGCATCAGTTTTATAACAATTTTTTTGCTTTTGCAAATTAATGATGATTCTAATCCTGACAATTTCTCACCGCCAGCTATCTTATCAGATTATTCAGAAGACGTGCTGTGAATCCTTCCCTATGCCATATGCGATCGATCCTCGGTGTCCAAGATACAAGATAGACATGCTATCCTTTAACCTCAGTATCGTCATTTGCCTTTCCTTTGCATGCTTAGTTTAATCTTAAAACATTTCATTTTGTCGCCTAGACTTGTAACACAGGATTCTAGAGATTTAGAATGTCAARAAATTGTCTTTGCATCAGAGGTGCATCAATGCACACGATACCAGAAAACATTATAATAATGTATTAAAGTCTTAGCAAGTTCGATTMTCCTGAAATATAATAGTACATTCTTGTTCATTTTCATACTGTGTGGCTGTGGTTAAGGTATAACTGATACAACATTATCATAATCGCTGTTAGCTTCGGCTTTCATTAGCAAAAGAATAATTTGTTTACATACTAACCTTTCCACCACGTTCAAGTATCGCCTCGCAAACCGCTCTACCTATTCCTGACGCTCCCCCAGTTACTAGCGCAACTGATCCCTCGATCTTCATTACTTATAGCCTCCCAGGTCGGTTCTAATGCCCYTCAACTGATGAAGAGTCGCGATTCTCTGTAATCAGAATCTTAAAGCTTATTGAGTTCTAAGGAATATGAGAAACCTATGTTTGTCTTGATAGAGATCAAAGCAAACATAAGCCAGACTTTTTTACTTGAAATTTGCATAATGTGAAAACAGTATGTACTTTAGACAAGTTATTCAATCAAACGTCGTTTAGAAAGAAACTTTTAACTTCGGTTATGTTCATTAAGTGTGCAACCGTTATATTATTACAGTTATAGATATTCTACACTAAAAATATATATGTTTTCTAAGTTTCATAATGATTTGGTCAACTCAACYTGACGAAACATATCAGACCAGAAATCCGAAGCCAAACGTCGATGTAGTTGACATTACAAAATTGCCACAAAAGAATATTAATTAATTCTAATACCTTCTTAATTGTATTTTCACATCATTCAATTATATATATTAAGTATTGTTTTTAGATTTAAATCACAAAAATGAATCGAACTAAATGGGGGAAATTATCTTTTTTTTTAAATATTTTTTAATGGAATAGGTTTGTTTCCATGACGACATAGGTGCTTTTATTTTTGTGGACACGAGGAGGATAGAAGCTTGACAGCAGTTTGGCATAGAGCTTAAGTTTTTAAATTAATGATAGGGTGTTATGTATCGCTAAGTAGCCTTAGGAGATTGGATGAGATTAGATATACGAAGTCCTAATTCACACTGGATATGTGAGGACAGAAATGTGTTGGTCGATATAGATGAAGAGACATATTGTGAAACCCAGAGATAGTAAAAGAGAGTATAAAAACCGAACAAAATGGTGATGTGAGAGACGAACACAAACGCACACGGAAAAAATACAAAAGAGAATAATACAAAAGAGAATRCCAGGCTTCAATAATGGCAACGGTATATGATTTGTTTTAACAGGTCGATGCGCAAATGCACACTAAATCAGTATAAGCAGCATGCTTCCTCACGAGTTACTGGGTGCCAGCAGGATTCAGGTTTCGCGGCTTGAATTGGGTAGCAAAAAGAATATATATAAATCACTTAGGTAGGCTGCGAGGAGTCCCACTTTTCCCTCCGCCCTCAGTTAAAACGAGTGTTTCAGCTCCAATCTCCGCGCGCATCCATAGGAATCCTAAAACACGAGTTCATCCTTACTGAGTCTGGAGAGGAAAGTGGGACTGCTCTTAGACTTTTCCTTAGGACCCTAGTCACAGTTGGATTGATATAGAAATTAACTTAATTGTTGCAATCTACAATCATCACCTTTCTTCATATTCAAATTCACAGCTCACAGCCAAGAATTCATTTTGAAGCCTTCAGATTTCAGATCTACGATGGACAACTTTTTAAAAAAGGTGTATGCTCTCCAGGTTCAAATTACTAGGCAGAACGTCTTRTATGACAAAGTCTCAAGCTCTTAGATTAAAATTTAAATGAAATATCTAATTCAATAAAGTATGTGTGTTCATGATCTTAACTTAACCAGAACACATACTGCTGTGCCGGCCTAGTTCAATAATCTATACAAATTGGAGAATTTAGAGTTAGTGTTTTTGTAAGTAATAAGCGGTAAAAAGATATGAATTCAAAAGTAATTGGCACAAGCTACACATATCTAATTTTGAACCCGAAAACGCGCCATAGTGTTGAAGTCACATCAACTACTCCATCGCTGATAGCCACTGTTGCTTACAAAGCATTTTGTATTACATATATCAGGTTTCCAATACATTGTTTAATGTAATCCAAACTCGCGAAAAACGTCAAATACTCCTTTTCGATGTATATTGCTATGCTACACTCGACTACAAACACATGTGCAGCTGCAATGACGCATTGCTGAATGAAAAATAAACTGGTCATTCATTAGTCTTTGAACAGGCTCTCCTGTTTACCAAGAGCAATACAACTCTCAGGCTATCGATTTTGAACTCCCTCCCAGCGGCACATGCCCAAAGTAAAAAGGGTCTAACTATAGACCTTCTATCTTTTGTTATTTCAATCTCATCTTCACGTTCTACATATTTTGAGCTCAACAATGATTTTACACTTGATCATGAGTGTATGTCTGGACCGCGTATAMGCGGAAAATGGAAATACGCAAATGAATTGAATCTCCCGCATAATTACGATAAAAATATCAAGAATTAAGGTCTCTTAAGACTGAAAACAACATCTTTGCTACTYCAAACTTATTAACAGTGACGACCATGTCAAAATCGAGCGAAGAAAAGGCAATACTCTAATCAAGACATGTTTTAGATGAGGAAAGGAACAAACCATTTCCATACTTCTCATGCACATTGAGTCAAAACTCTACCAAATAGGCCACGAACGTTTGATGATATCTTAAAACCTAGACTGGATTGCGGTAGTCGTGTGGTACTTACATGTATCGAAATATGATAAAAACACGCAGACAGAAAAAGAGGATGTCCCTMGCATTACATCTCGGCAAAAATAAAAAAAAATTGGGTGAAATCCTAGTCAGTTCTCTACTCAACAATACCATAAACTGAAGCTWTATAAGTTTAAATGAAGATATATGGTATGGCCTTGGTATGTCTGGTATCGTGCTAAAATCTTAATATCTCGAATTTTCCCTACACAAGATCCATACCTGTCGGCTATCTTATGTTTTTATTCAATTACAATTAGAATTAAAATATTACAATATATATATGTATATGTATATATATATCTATGAATTTCCAAATCACTGTTAAGCATGAATCATACGTAAGCTCTATTCTATAGTCGTCATGTTTCGTCTGACCTAGAATCAGCCAATCAGAGAGACGATAGTCTAAGAATGGGATTTGCTCACGACTATTGGAGCTTTATTTCATCACTGATCGCGTCAACACCACCTGTCAGTTTCGAAAGAAAAACGCGTCCATAAAAACATTTAACAGCAATTCATAAACACACACAGCACAAGGTTAGCTGTCAAAATAACGCATGATTTAATGTCAGGAAAAAAATTTAATCTATCCAAAAAAGATTTGAAGTGTTTTGTCATCTGGATTAACGTCGATGTTAGCTATATGAATATTTAATGACCCAACACAATAAACAGATTTAATTGTATAACTGATCAGTCGATTTGCTCGAAAATACAATTTTTTTGGCATTATTCTTCTGCAGTGAAATATATTTTATGTCAATGCGTTTTGCGCGTAAAAAAGATTTTTAAAAATTTTTTTCTTCGCCATTTCGTTTGTCATTCTTATTTGTTTTATTTCTTACAAAACCAAATTTGCATTTCGCAAAGGGTAAATTGAATGATCATTTAATAAATAAACTACTCACTTTCGCTCTGTAATGAGTTATCCGAGTCAATATACCATTTAAACCTTTGCTGTTTCGTCGTATCTCGAACTAGCTCGAATACTAGAGACTTTTCTTCGAATTAACGTAATGAGTTAATAAAAAGCTTCATCAATATTTTTGTGCTGCTAATTCTCACCCAGATCGTTCGAGATCCCCCGTAGTCATCCGGTTTAATTGGGAATAAAAACGTATTTTCAAAAAAAATTTTTTTTGATAATTCAATTACCATCAATTTTCAGAGCCTCGAGAATTCATATGATAAGGTTTTTACGACAAGTGGGTAGACGGCTCTTGCTAAGGCCTTTTTTCTCTCATTTTAGGGCGCTCTGTATCGAAGCTTAGCAGGATGGCTTTCTTAGAAAACGATTTTATGAATTTTAAATTGATGGATAAATGACTCTTGTATAAGCGCAAAAAAAAAAAAAAAAATCAGTTTATTTATATTCTCTCCACTCTCTCGGCCCCTCGTTCTTTTTCTCTTCTTTTATTTTTTTACCCTAGCACCCTTTTTCTTGTTTCGCTATTGAAATTGAATATTTGAAAATAAAAAGCATAAACTTAAGTAAGAAAATACACCGAATRCCTTGAACGCTCTAGCTCTTCAAAGACGAGAACGTTGAAGAAGGTTCTCGATTTATTAAAAGTAGTTAGTTACCATGAGGTTAAGAGGGAACAAAACAGAATACTTGTGGGCAAAATGAAATTGCGCGATTTTGATTCTACGCAAACACTTGATCAACTTATAGTCTCATAAAAAATTAGTTAGCGATTACAACGCCCTCAAAACCCGAACTCTTCCAAGAAAAACCTATAAAAATAACCTATGAAGATAAACAAACTATAAATAACTAACCAAAGGGAATTAATTTCGGAATAAGATATCGCAATAGTTTCGTAATGCAGATGATAATCTACGTTTTAGAGTTATTTCCATATATATATAAAACGCTGTCCATGATCGGCTCGGTTCCTGCTTTCACATCGTCATAATATTCATTATGACGTTACTGCCCACACGACTTAACTTGTATGACGTCATATGTGGTGACGTCATTCTAATGGCTGTCTATGGAAACAGCCGCCTACATGCGAAACATATAAATGCGTTCTTAGTCCTCGTTGCAGTCATTTGAAGCTCGAGTTGTCTAATCTTGGAAATCAATTTTTCAGCTGAAGACTAAGTTGACGAGAATTGGATAGAAACTTTGGCTATTCGCTTTTCAATACAATCCAAAAGTTTGATACTGACTAGATTCAYACTAGGTATTACACAGCTCAACAAAAGTTTATCAGCTATGTTATAAACTGTTAGTAACGAGAAAAAGTGCAAATATACTGGCTGTAAACCCACAAGGAAAATCACACATATATCAAAACTTTTACGTCTTCGAAAGTTTACGTTTCAAACGAAGAATGCGACCAAGAATGAGATCTTTTCACTTGACAAGTACGTCGGCTCAACTCGCTCCAATAGCTGAGCAAAGTGAAGAAAACTATCACATTTCACATTCTGAGAAAAGATTAGAAAACTTAAGTGAAACCCGGAGATCGACGAAGATGAAGAGAGAAGAAAACTACACCAAGGAAAGAAGAAGGACGGTGTCTTGTGGGGATTTGTCACTCCCTGAAATTGTCACACCAAAACCGTTACGAACGTTGAGAAGATGTCAATCTGAGCAGTCTGAAAGATATCAAAGCTATTACAGCTGTTATGATAGAAGACAAAASACTTTTACAGACTTTTTACC